AGGGGCGACCCTCGGGGTGGCAGAGCCGACCAGGCACGGGTTCCGCTGCAGCGTCAGACCCCGGTGCCCGCGCCACCCGCGTCTCCTGGACACCGCCTCCTGCGCCCTCCCTCTTGCTGAGCCCCCAGCCCCTCGCTGAGTCTTCGCATCTTTCTCCCCAGGGGAGAGCCCCTTTCTCCTTCTGTGCTCTCCCTCCGCTCCCCCCGCAGCTCCCAGGACCGTGTCAGAGCCCCTTCCCCTTGGGTGCTGCCCCTTCTCCGCCTGTTGAGTTTCCTGCTCCCCCCGGCTCTGTCCGCACCTCAGTCCTGGCCCTCCACCCACCCCGCAGTGCCAGGCCCGGTGGGTGTCTGGGCCTCCCCAAGTCCCTCCACCCACAGAGCCCAGGTGCCTCCAGCCTGTCCTCACCAAGCGGGTCCTCATGCCTAGCCCAGCCCCTGTCTGCTCTCCTGTCCCCGCACGACCCTAGACCCTATCCAAGCCCCCTTCAGGGCCTCTGTCCTCCTTGAGTCTCTGGCCCCTCCCAGCCCCCAGCCCCCAGCTGCAGTCTCTCCCTGAGCAGGGTGCACCTCCCCAGGCCCCCACCGGAGTGCCCAGCTCTGCGCAATCCCATCCCTGGCTGAGGGCCCGCCCCCAGGCCGCCCTCACAGCCCTGTCCTTCCCGAGCCCACCCGCGTTGGAGTTCCTGCCCCCATATTTTCCCCAAATCGGACTCACGGGCGCCCAGCTCAGAGCCCCTGAGCTCCACGCTCGATAATGTGGCTGCCCCCCAAAGTCCAGTCTTGAAGACTGTGACCCGTCACCTGTTGGAACCCTTTGCCCCTGGGACCAGGTGTCCCTCTCCAAGCCCCTATGACACCGGTCTCCTTGGAGTCCAGGCCACTCACCTGCCCATGCCTCTCTGCAAGCCCGTCCCGTCCCACCCTGTGGATGCTCTGTCCCCCAAGTCCCTCCCCCACCCCCGGCCTCAGCCTGCCGGCCCCCGTCTGCCCCACCTTGCTTTCATTATCTCCTTGACACTTGCCCCCAAGTGGCTTCCCCTTCCTGCAAAAGTCCCAAGGATACCCTCTGCCATGGAGAAACCCCCGCCCCCCTGCTGCGCCCTGAGTCCCCACTTCACTGCGCAGTGGCCCTCTCTGAGCTGGGTCCTCTTCACCCATCTGCCGGCCCCCATGGAGCCCAGAACCTCCAACCCTGCCACCCCCTGAAGCTGCCCTTCCGTGTGGCAGCCTGTTCCCTCCCTCACCTCCCTCGAACCCCTGTTCTCCCCCGAGGCTGTGCTCTGAGCCCTTCCTCCCGTGAAGCCCGGCTCTGCTCTGACCCTCTCAACCGGCCTCCCTTCCCTCCACGACCCTCTCTCCTCCCAGTCTGGGTCCTTCTCAGGGACCCCTTCTCCTCGGAGTGCTCGCCTGCCTGTGCCGGGCCCTCTCTGCACACTTCTCTCCCCAGTCTCTGTGCGCTCTGAGCCTGAGCCCTTCTCTGCACCCCGGCCCCTGGACAGGTCCCACCCCCGCTCCAGGCCCCTCCCCTGCCCCGCCCCCACCCCGGCTGACCCAGGTACAGCCTCTTTCGGGGCTGGTCAGGAACCCCGCAGCGCAAGAGTTGGCTTTAAGGATGTTGATAAAACCGTCTTCAAGTGGGCGGGGTTCCCAAGCAAAGCTGGCCCCGCCCTGACCACGCCCTCAGCAGGGCCCAGGCCCAGGGCCCACAGGTCTCTGAGGGCAGATGGGGACTGCGGGGAACTGGGGCTCAGTCTCCCTCATCCAAACCCCACTGCCCCTTTCCCAAGGGCCTGGCCTGCGGGCACCAGACCTCAGTCGGGCTGAGTCTGACCTAAAGGGCCCTCCCAGGCTTGTGAGTGGCCTGTGAACTAGGCCACCTGGTGTCCCTGGTGTCTGAGCTGGTGCCCCCTGGGCCAGGCGCTGCCCAGGGCTGTACAGGCTGCTGTAAGGGGCCCATGGGCTGGTCTGCCCCTGCGCCCAGCTGGCCCTCAGGCAGCAGGAGAAGGTGCCTGGCCCACAGGAGCCTGCTGCAGGCCGCCGGGAAGGGGCTGGACTCAGGTGGGCTCCGGAGAGCTCAGCCGGAGGCTGGGTGTCCGTCCTCCAGGCGGGAAGCGCCCACTGGGGCCCACTGGGCTGGTGCCGAGCAGGGCTGAGCCAGCCAGGACGAGAGCCAGTGTTTGGAGCGTCCGAACGCCAGGCCCTGTGCTGGGGTCCTCGTCGTGTCCATCAGGCCCAGCACGAAGAGGTCCCTGTTGTCACCCTCCTTCCCTAGACAGAGACTCCAGGCTCAGGATCAGATCACAGAAGCTGGCTCTGAGCCCAGAGTCAGACTGCAGGGTCCAGAGAATCCCGGCCGGCTGAACGGGGCCCTCCGGGGGCCAGCGCAGGGCGGCTACACTGGCCCGACTATGGGCAGGACATCAATGCCCTGATGGTCTGGCCTAGGGGCTGGGGGCTCGGCCTGCACTAACCCACACAGTGTCCAGGGGTCTGGGGCGTCTCGCCACGCTTGTCCCCGCGTTCCAGAAGGGAGGACCCTCCAGCCTAGGGTCGCGGTGAGCAAGGCGGGTGGAGCCGGGGCCCGTGAGTCGGTGAGCCCCTGCTGGGCTCGGGTGGTGGGAGGCTGAGGCGGACAGAGTGGAGAGCAGGCCCGGGATGGTCAACGGGCAAGGGGTGAGGGGAGGGGTGCGTCCTCCCTGGCAGCCCTGTTCTGCGGGCCTCCCAGGCACCAGCGTTGACGGGGCTCCCCAGAAACCCTGCAGCCCTGCAGAGCTCTGCCGGCTCCCAGCTCGAATTTCAGGCGCAGAGAACACCGGGCACATGTTCACGATTCTCGTAATTCTGGAAGGCGCTTGCTAAGGGCTCAGCTCTGGGGTGCAGCCCCCGGGCCCCCTGGGGCCAGGTCCGTGACAGCCATAGCCCTGCTGGCTGAGAAGGCACCAGGATAGCGATAAATGTCACATCAGCCAGACCCCTACACCTGCAGGGGGTGGGTTCCAAGGAGTCGTCCAGAGTTACCCGTTCCTGAAGAATCTGCCCCACCACCAAGTGTTCACAAACTCCTATTCATCCCTCAAAACCCCCTGGCTGTGCAGCTGCTTCTGACCACCCCCGCCTACCCCCACCAAACAGGCCAGACCAGCCAGGAAGTCACTGTGGCCTGAGGGGATTCCTAACTTCAATCCCTGCAACCCCAGGACTCCAGGCTGGCCTGCTCCAGCATCGGCATGGCTCACACACAGATACGGCTTCCAGGGGTTGGTGAGGAGGCCCAGATGAGAGGTAGGCTGCCCAGGTGCCACCAACCCCATCGGGCCTCTTTCCTAGGCCGGAATCATGTGTGCAGGGGATCAGGGTACACTGCGGAGCCCCACTGCTGGTGGAACATTCTCCAAGGAAACGTGGAGGACACTCACCTGGACCTGAAAATCATGCCTCCATGAAGGTAGTCACATAAGAAGCCCTGTGCTGGGCCCCACCCTGCTGATCACTGCTCCAGGCCTCCATACAAGCCAGTCCCCCACCAGCGTGGCCGGGCAGGGGGCGAAAGTCTTGGGGTCTGGGTCTGTGGGCCAGGCCCTGGGCAACCCCAGAGGTGCACCCCAGGGTAGCTGGGTCAGCCCTCCCTCTGAAGTGACAGCAGGGTATCAGCCACACCAGCTCCTTCCCCACCACCCTCCCCACCAAGCACAAAACACGCTGACACACAGTAAGAGGCCTAGACAATTTTATTTTCATGCCAACTTTGCTCCCGGCAACTCAAGAATGGGGGCAGCTGCAGGGAAGGCCGGCACCAGCCCCCTCCCCTCCCACCCCACCCCCAGGCCAGCGAACGCCCTCAATGTCCTCCACGACGGAGTCAAGCCCCAGGATGACCCCACCGAGGCCTCACAGGACTAGCTTTTGTCCCCTGCCACCCCTGCCAGCTCCTTCCAGCTCATCCTCAGGCCTCAGCTGGCCCCTTCCTCGCTGGGTCTAGGGCAGACGGGTGGGGGCCACAGTGCAGGGCGCCGAGCCCCAAGCTGCACAGAGGGGCGACGAAGAGTGCAGCCTGGCGCTGGACGGTGCTGGGTGGCCAGGCCCCCAAGGTGCAGGCTGGGGAGGGAACTACCCCGGGGCTGGGGGTCCTAGGATGCACAGCTGCCCAGCGGGCTGGGTCTTCCAAGTTACAGAAAGGAGCCTGTGCACCACAGCCACCCACTGGCTCTGCCCCTGGCCCGCCCCTCCGGCAGACAGACAAGCAGGCAGCTTTCCCAAAACCAGGGAGGGGGAAACCACAGAACGGAACCTGGGCAGCCTCCAAAGAGCTGTGCTGCGAGTGCGAGTGCGAGTGCGAGTGCGAGTGCGAGTGCGTGGGGGGGCGGCCTGGGGACAGGGGTGCGGCCGTCTCCTCCTCCTCGACCCTCCTCCGGACTCTGCCAGCGGGCGGGGAGCCAGCTACGGCCCGGCAGCCTCGGCCAAGCCCACCCGGTTCTGGTCGCGGTCGAACACGGCATAGTAGCGGCCAATGAACACGTCGCCCAGGATCCAAAGCGGCCCGCCGGGCGGGGGGATGTCCATGCCCATGAAGCCGCTCAGGCACATGGTCTTCCCAGCCTGCGACACCTGGGACAGCCAACGAAGGTCACCACCCAGGCTGCACCCTTGGGTGTGCCCCGCCCCACGCCCCCCAGTCCCCAGCTCACCTTGAGCGTGTAGTCCTCTGGGGACAGCTTGTAGTCTTTAGCCCCCAGCTTCACGGTGACCTTGGGCAGGCTGGACACCTTCTCGCAGGGGATCATGTACTAAGGGGAGACGAGTAGACGCTGCATGTACGGGGGGAGGGGCACGCCGGCCTGGGGTGCCCGTCCTCCCCACCCGGCCCCGCCGCGCGCTCACCTCGCCCTGGATCAGTGGCACGGCCCCAATGGCTTTCTGCAGCTCCCGCACCTCCTCCACAGGGCCCACGATGAGGGAGGTGCCCGTGTCCACGATGGCCTCACAGCCCCCCTTACACAAGGTCAGGCTGCTGCCCACGTCTACCCTGCAGCGGAGGTGGTGTGAGTCCCCTCCCAGGGCCACCTGGAGACCCCGCCCCCACTGCAGGACTCAGCCCAAGCAGAGTTGGGTGGGAGGGGAGGGGAGGGGAGGGGAGGCGGCTGGAGAAGCCAAGAGAAGGGTTAACAGCCCCCAGGCAGCCCGTGGACGAGGGGACACTGGCTGGAGCCTGGGTACGAGAGCTCGGCTGGGCAACAGAAGGTGGCCAGAGCACCTAGGGCTGGCGGGACACAGGGTACAGGCCCACCCCCGCCCAAGGCCCTGCTGAGTGCGAGGCGGGGGGCGGGGTCCCCACAAACCATGCCCCCTGGGGAGCCAAGGGAGGGGCCCCACCTAGTACTCACTGGTCCATGTGGACCTGCCAGTAGGCCATGCGTGTCACGTTGTGGTAGATCAGCGAGCCTTTGTAGTACTTGGGGTCAGTGCCGCCCAGCATCAGCTCACCCCCAGGCTGCGCATTTGGGTCCCTGGCGGGGAAGGAGGGAGGGAGTCTGCTGCCCTGCCCACCCCTGCACCAGGCGTCCAGCCTGAGGACTGGGTGGATAGGCACAGGGTGGGACCAGGTCAAAAATCATGGGGGGGAGGATCGATCTCAAAAGGTGCCCCAGAGCAGGACTCTTCCTGGGCAGGCAGGGGTGGAGTATCCAGGAGGGGGGAAGGGCTCTGATCCTACCACCAGTGTGCACCGCAGGCCAAGCCCCACCCTGAGCAGAAGAGATCCTGCTTGGGCCTCTGGGCTCCTGCTCTGCCAGCTGAGGATGGCCAGGGTCAGGCCAGCAGGCAGATGGGGACACGAATGCTAACAGCTCCAGGAGCAGGAACCTTACCTGACTGGAAGAAAAACCAAGGGCTTCCAGGAGGTGTCGGCAACCCTGAGAGAAGCTGAGCCAGCTGTTCCTGCCCCAGGCCCTTTGCACCTGCTGCTCCCGAGGATGTCCTCCATCCAGAGCCTTCCATGACTCGCTCCCCCTTCGGATCTCAGCTTTTGACTCTCCCCACCTCTTATTTACGCTTATATTAATACCCTGAGCTCAGCATCGTCTGCCCGGCTGTCCCCGGCACTCAGAAACGCCTTGCTGAACTTGTCCTTCTGCCACCACTGTGGCGTCCACCTCCTGTCACCTCCGAAACCCACTGTGTGGAAAGCAGATCACACCTCCAGTGCCCCTCCACACCCTCAGCCCTGCCCTTGCAAGCCATCCGCCCCCCACCTCCTGCCTCAGCCCATCACCCGGGGAGTCATAGCGCTGGGCCACCCGTCCCCAGTCCCAGGCCTGGCTGATCTCCCGGGTCCACTGCACCTCGTCGGCCTCCCCTGGACCCAAGAACTCAGGGGGAATGGCCCCACCTGTTCACCTGCACCCCAGCATCTAGCAGGTGGCTCGGCCCCAAGTAGCTGCTGAGTATTTGCCACTGACCTAGCAAGGGACAGAAGGCTGTTTCCACACAGAGATTAGGCCGAGGGCCCTGGGCTGGAATTCCACCAGTAGTGACCGGGGTCAGACTGGGGGGCGGGGGGGCACGTAGGGCTCAGTGACCAGGAGCAGAGCTCAGGGCAGCGGACGCCCGGCCCACGCCTGCCCACGCCTGCCCACAGCCTCACCCTCAGCACAGCTGCATCCCCCTCCCGTCTGGGGCTCCCTCTCAAGGCCCGCAGCACTGTCATCCTGGGAAGAGGCCGGGAGCTGAAGAGTGAGACCCCTTCTCGAGGACCCCCTCCCCGGCAGCACCCCTGGGGAGGCCTCCCACGCGACATCGCCGCAAGCCCTCCCCGAAGTCACCCCCGCGGGAAAACCTTGGCCCTCTTGCCTCCAGAACTCCTATCACAGACTGAGGCTCGTGGCCTGGTTCCCTGTGGGCCGAAAATGACCCAGGGGCTAAGACCACATCTGCCCATCACCAGGCCTGGGAATGGTGGGCAGACTGACGTGGGGGGGGGGGGCCCCTGCCAAGACCCTGGCCCAGCTCTGGCTCTCCAAGGTCCCAGACCCCGGTGAGACACAGCCTTCTGAGGGGCTGCCTGTCCATCTGTGAGAGGGTGCCAACCCATCCTGCAGTCGGAGGTCAGGAGCTGTGACTCAGTGCCTGGCAGGTGGCCATGGGCAGGGCCGGCATGACAGGGACTCGCCCCGCCCCACCTGTTCAGGTAGAAGGAGAAGATGTTCTCATCCACCAGCTTCTGCTGCATCAGGTTGTCAAAGACAGGCACCACGCTGTTCACGGAGATGCGGGGGTAGGCCATGCCCAGGATGCCGTCAAACTTGGCTGCGATGAAGGTGATGCCCGGCTGCTTGGTGGCCTCCCCGAAGGTCTGCCTCTCCACCTTGATGCTGCCCAGGTTCAACCCTGATTTACAGGGCACCTGAGGGCCATGGGGGGGGGGGAAGGGGGCAGTGGGCCACATGGACCACCAAGCCCAACCAACACTGGCCCCTGGGCGGCCCATCACCTCCCAACCCTGCGAGGGCAGCCACGGCTACAAAACCCAGCTCAGTCGGTGCCTGTCAGGTAGCACACAGGAGACTCAAGAAGGGCAGAGGACCCAGAAGAAAGGGCTGGCAACCCCGGCCGGACACAGGTGGGGACAACAGGGGTGCGGGGCCCACAGTCTGTCAGGAATATTTCAAGGATAGATGCAAATGGAGGGAGTAAGGAGGATGGGCTTGTGAGCTCAGGCTTTCCCACCCACAGCTCTCCCTTCCGGCCTGTTCCTGCCCTTGGGGAACCTGTGACCCGACCCAGGACTCAAGGCCACACATCCCCCCGCCCCACCCCCCCAGGAGCTGCAGATAAAGACAGCACAGGATGTGGGAAGAAACGGCTGTTTGGGGCTGAACCTAGGAGGGGAACGTGCTGGGTGACATCCCATCTCCAGCCCAGAGAAAACCTGGCGGAGGGGCCCCTGCAGATAAACCTGGGCAGGCAGATAAGGAGGGGGAGGGGTGGCCCGCAGGGAACCACAGTGCCCTGACCCTCCCCCCACGCCTCTGCCGTTCCCCCATCCAAGTATCGCAGTTCGGGGCTGGGGGCTGGGGGGCTGGGGGCTGACCATCTTTGTTCCTCTCCCTCTACAAGTCCCAACCCGGGCCCCTCCTGCTGCCCGGCCCCAGCTGCTCCACCCCAGGGCACGGGCAGAGCCCACAAGGGCCCCTCAGCCCTCCCCGGGGCAGACGGGCACATCCTGCAGGTGCCCCCTGCCCCCCCAGCAACCCCGGCTGCTGCCCGCTCCCGCCCAGCATCCTCTGCGGGTGCCCCTCTGCCAGCAGCTCCAGCTGCAGGAACCCCGGCCATGCCTGACCCCATCACCCACCGGCATCTCAAAGCCAACACGTCAGCACGGGACCCCATCTTCCCACTGGCTCTTCCACCCGGTTCCGTGGCCAGGGGCCTCACCACTCATCACCCACGGGGGTCCTGGTCCCAGAGCCGTGCCCGGCACCCTTACACCTGTGCCTCAATGGCTCTCTGCCCGCTTTCCCTTCCCATCTCCCAGCTGTGGCCCAGCCCACACGCGGGACCACGTCCGCCCCGTCCCCGTCCCACGTCCTCGCCACCAAGCACACTGAGCTGCCCCACCTCTGGGCCTTTGCTCAAGCTGAACCCCCAGGCCCCTCGCTCAGCTGACCACTGCTCGCCTCCCAAACTAAAGAGCCCTTCTGGGGAGCTGGCACAGACCCCTGCCCTGGGGTTCGGAGAGCGAACCCCCTCCATAGGCAGCGGCCCAGAGACGGACTCACCGACACGGTATCCTGGCTCAGGTACCCGGAGAGGCTGCCTGAGCCGTAGTGGATGTCGAAGGATGTGCCGTTCTTCACGTACGTGCTGGACTTGGCGCTGTTGTACTTGTGGTGGGTCCCTGCACCAGCCGGGAGCCCGTCAGGCTGCCCGCCGGGCCACCACCAGACCCGCTGGGCACCCCCACCGCCTGCTGCAGCCCGTCCACCAACCACCCTCCCGGGGCGGGTGGTCTGGCCCACAACTCGCTCCATCCTTGGCTCCCACGGTCCCAGCCCGGATGCGAGCAAGGATGGAGACCCAGGGAGGGAAGCCTGTCTGGTGTGGCCAAGAGGTGGGAGCTGCGAGCTGCCCAGGAGGTGCCAGGACAGGGCCACCAGAGGTCTGCGCCTGCCCACCGCTACGCCCCAGGACTGGAGGAGGTGGGCTGAGGCCGGACAGCTGGCCCCTAGCGCCCGCGGGGACAGCGCATGCGGGACAGGGATAGAGGGCTGCACGCCCCTCCCCAGGGCCCCTACCCTCCCGCGTCCACGGCAGGCAGGGGCCGGGCCTGGCCCTCGGTCTCCCTCTGGCCACCAGGGAGAGGCGTGGGACAGGCTGACTTACAGCAGGCGATGTCCAGCAGTTTGCAGTGGATAGACGGGACCCACAGATTGGAAGAGCCGGTGTCAAAGACCACCGTAAAGCACTGCGGGGGCGTCCCGATGCCGATCTCCCCGTAGTACTGGGCCTGGGGGGAGGTATGGTCTGTCAGGGCTCGGGCAAGGGGCACCCTCACCTCCCCACGGGGCCCAGAGAAGGCCCGGGCCAGGGGAGGGGCCCAGGGTCAGACCTGCTGCCTCGGCTGCCCACCCCCACCTGCCCCTCCCGAGCCCTCGGTCCTGGTACCCATGGGCACTTCGGGTTCCAGGGCCCCCGGGGACCACCCTGCCCCTGCCTGACCATGTGAGCTGGGGGACGACCACCCCATGTGAAAGACCCAAAAGCAGCAGTGGAGTCAGTGTCGCGAGAGGGTTGAAATGCCTGCCTGAAGCCCCTCTGGGATTCACAGGTCCAGGGCCCCAGGAGGGAAGACCTCCTCCCAGCGTGAGGGTCAAGTGAGGGCCTGACTCTGGGGCCTCAGGCTCCACGGGGCCAAGCCTGGAGGGCCCCCAAGCAGAGGGATCTAGGTGGCCGAGGGCGCAGGCTGAGTCCCTCACTGCCAGCCATGCTGCCTTCACTGCTCTGGGCCTCAGTGTTCCCACCTGCATACAGGGCAGCAGAGGCTGCCCCGGGGGAGGCCCAGGTGCTGACCAAGGGCTCAGGTGAGCATGAAAGGGGCACGTGACCCTCGGAGCCTCCAAGGGAAACCCCGTCTTTGCCCTCTCGCAGGTCAGAGAATGTGGACGTTTTTGTCTGGAGTCATCTGGGCCCTGCCTCCCGGGCACTCCCTTCCCCAGGGAGGGAGGGAGGCTGGGCCACCAGTTGCTGCAGGATTCTGGCTCCGACCCCTCCAGTCATCTCTTTTCGGCCACTTTGGCAGCCGCTGACTCATGACCTGACAGAAGTGTCCAGACTTGGGGGATGGGGGAGACCGGGGTGGGAGAGAATGACTCAGCAAATCTCTGTTGTGTGTATGTGTGTGTGCGTGCAGGCGCGCGCGTGCTGGGGGGACAGGAACCAGGAACTGGTCCGTCAGGCCCCAGGCTGATGGCCCCTCTGACCAGCCTGATCACATGCCTGTGAGGCCACAGCTTCCTGGCACGGCTGGGGCTCCAGCCAGGCAGGACAGAGGGCAAGGCCACCTGTCCCAACCCTAAGTGGACCAGAGGATGGATGGCAGCAAGCAGCTGGCTCCCCAAGACCCCGGGGGTGGGGGGTGCAAAGAGGATGTCACCTGGGCAGCCCCAGAGGTACCAGGCTGGGGCCCAGGACCTGGCCCCAGCTTGCTGTGTAGCTTCCAGAATATTCCACCTCTGAGCCTGTTTCCCCCTCAACGGGCAGTGGGCATAAGGGCTGGCCGCTGACCGAAGAGGAAGATAGGGCCCAGGAACTGGGCCACAGGTTGCCCCAGGCCTTCCAGCAGAATGGGCAAGACCACAGGAGCTCCAGGGCAGTTAGTGCCGCCTGGGCACACAGGCGATCCAAGCTCAGGGACCCCCAGGCCCCCACCCACAGACTCTCGGGCAGGCCTGGGCCCGATCCTGGGCTCCTCCGTGCCGTGCCCAGCACCCTCATCCGTAGAGGCTGACGCAGCTCCCCGCAGGCTGACCGCCAGGATGAAGACGCCGGCCCAGCTCTGAGCTGACGGGGGGCGGCACGCGAGGGAGACGTCAGGGAGGTGCCAGGGCTGCTCCAGTCAACCATCTCAGCCCCCCGGGACGGGGACCAGGGCGGGCAGGGGAGCTGGGGAGGACGCGGGACGTCAGAGCCCTCAGTCTGGAGGGGGTTGTGGGCAGCACCCATGGTGAAGGGCGTGGCTCACCAGAAGCCCCTCTCCCATACCACGCAGCTGAAGCCCCCAAAACCACTGGGGGCTGAGAACACGAGTATTTCACCCAAATCCGCGCTGGCTCACAGAACTTGTCTTAAGAACCAGGCCCTGTCTACAACTGTGTCTGTAGTCAACCTGCTCCGCCAGCCCCAGGCCGCGCCCCGCCCCCCAGCCCCCACCAAAACTCACATCCATGTAGTTCTTGAGAATCTCAGGAATGGGCCCCTGGATCACAGTGGGTACCCCCTGGGAGTATTTTGAAATGGGGCCCTTGGCGATCAGGTCTTCCATGGGGCCCCCCATTTCCGACATGGTCCGGCGGATGGATGTGAACTTGTGCAGTGGAATCCTGTCAAGACAGGGGTCCGGGCTCGTCAGGGCCGGCTGGCTGCCACCCCACCTGGAGGCTCCCACACCCACATCCAAGCTGGAGGCCCAACCGCCCCCCCAAACACCTGCACCCCACTGTCCCTACTCTGGGCCCGCTCTGGTCTCTTCTGACCAGTGCGGGCTATGAGGGTGTCGGTGTCACCTGTCCCATTTGCCTGGCCCTCTGGCCAAACCTACCACCCTCCACGCAGACCCCACGTTGAGGTGGTCCCAGTTTACCCATCTGAGTTATGGGGTGGCACCTCCTGCCTGTCAGATGGGACTTCCAGGCCACCCCCTCCGAGAGGCCCTCCTTGCCCACCCCGTTTCCTTGCAGTCCTCACCCCAGGCCGCACTGAGCCCAGCGGCTCTCTCCCCACACAGGCTGAAGGAGGGCAAGGATGGCGCCTGGACCCTGGAGGTGGGGGCTTCCAGGCCTGCCTTCCTCCACGCAAGCCCCAGTGCCCCGGCCTGGAGCACCCTTCCCAGCACACACGCCAGCCTGGGTGGCCCACCCAGCAGGAGGGAGCAGGGGGTTCTGTCAGCAGGGAGCAGAGTGAGGGGCCCTTCTCCATCCCCAGCTCCCCGGCTCCCCAGGGGTCTGACCCCGCCCCAGGAGGTGGGAGAGGAGAGAAACCGGACCAAACAGAGATACTGGGTGAAATGTCTTCCTAGCCCTGAGAATCTTCGAGTTCAAGATCACAGCTGGCTCTTCCTAGCAGGCCAAGGGTGTGCTCCAGAAGTTGGGGCTTTCACCTCTTGCCTAAGAGCTGATAAGCTGGAAGAGTCTGAGGTTCTTGCCTGGGGGGAGGGAGGGAGGGACACGCCCTCCAGCAACTAAGGAAGCAGGTGCCAGTGGTCCACAGGATTGGGAGGTGTGAAGGGCTGGGGTTCAGCTGCCCTGCCCCAAGAGGCCCCAGGCTTCCTTCCCCACTGCCCTCCACCCCCGGGGGAGGGCCTGGGGGTGAAACCAGGGCAGGCTCAGACCTGCAGGAGCTCCGCCACAACTGCTCCAGCTGGGACTACTCGCCCCCGGGCCACGGCGCACAGAGGCGCCCACTCTACAGCCGACACAAGCTAGCCCTTCGGCAAGGCTCGGTCCGCTCTGGCCCCAGCCAGCTCCTGCAGCCCTGAGACCTCACCCACCTACCCACAGGCAAAGGCCCACAACAGAGGTGGAAGCATGCCTGCCCCAGCCGAGCACAAAGGCCCCCGGGGGGGTGGGTGGCAAGGGTGGGGGCAGGGGCAGGAAGGGGTGGGCCCGCCGCACCCCTCCCCTGCTGGGTGAGCAGGCTGCCTTGCAAGGCCGGGAGGGTGGGGGGACCCTCCGCCTAGCTGACACAGCATGGCACAGCCCTGGACCAGGCCTGATAGTCCGTGGAGTCACTGGGCCCAGTGGAGCCCCCCAGGCCTGAGGAGGGCATGGTCCTTACTGGGGGCAGCTGATGTTGCTGCGACAGAGCCCCAGCCCCAGGGTGGGGGGAGCCACACACAGCCTGGTGCCAGCTGGGCCGTTCTCTCAGACCCACTCCTTAGGCCGACTCCCTCTGGACTCCGGGACGTGTGGGTCTCCTGGTGTCCAGAGGGTCTCCCAGCCGGCCCAGGACCTGTGGTAAGATCTCATGGGACAAACCAGGTGGCACCACAACCAGTTCACATCTAGTAAAGGGGACCCCAGGCACGAAAATGACTTGCCCAGGCTCAGCGGGCTCCTGGACCTACCCCTCGGTTTTCCGACTTCCACCCGAGAGCGGGCCCTGAGTACAGGCTCCCACCCTACCTGTCCTGGGGACGCTGGGTCGGCTCCCAGTCACAGCCGCCCTCCCTCCTGCTTCCTCCGGTCCCCCCAAGGCCGACCCCACGGTGGTAGAGAGGAAGGGTCGCGGGGCTGGCGGGGGCTCTGGGCGAGCCCCGCACCTGCAGAGGTCCCCCCGCCCCTCCCGAGGGTGGACCCTGCAGGAGTCCGCGGGGCGCTCAGGCGGTGCCCGGGAGTCACCGGGGCGCGCGAGCTGCGGGGCTCACCTGACGAGCGCGGCGGCGGGCGCGGCCAGCAGGCCGAGGGCGAGCAGCAGCAGCAGCAGCAGGCAGGGGGTCTGCATGGCGGCGGCGACCCGGTCGGAGTGGACAGCCCGAGAGGTCGCGCGCTTATAGCCGGGATGACGGCGCAGTCGGGCCTGGTCAGCTGACCGGCTTGTTTGCACCCCGGCTGATCACGTGGGCCGCCGGCGGCGGCGCGGGGGCGGGGCCGGGGCGGGGCCGGGGCGGGGCGACCCCGGGCCCGGAACAGACTCTCCGGCTCGGGCCCGCGCACGGTGGGCGGGGATGCGCTCGCCGCCCGTCCCACTCGGGCCCCGCCCTGACCCCTCGAGAATTACCGAGACCCGCCGGGGCAGAAGGGGACGGGGCCTGGGACCCGTCTCCCCGGACACCTTAGCCGGGCGAGGTCCCCAGAGCCGCGGCTCCTTCCCCGCCCCAGGCGCACGGTTGTGCAGGGCTCCCTGCTCCATCCTCCCCCTCCCCCTGCTCCCTCCAGGGGCGCCCCTGTCCCTCCCACTCTTCCTGCACCCTGGGAATCTCCCAGGCAACCCCTCTGGAGGCTCCAGCCACTCTCATCCTCCCTCTCCAGGTGTCCACAACCCTCCCACCCCCCAGTACCCCTCCCCAGAGCAGCACCTGGCCTGGCCCTGCCCTGGTCACCCTGGGTCCTCCTTCCTGTGTAACCCGGCACCGCACCGTCCCCACCAGGCCCCAAATATCAAAGGATGCTGTGGTGGGGGGGGAGGGTGGAAAGGGAAGGAGGTCTCGGCCGCAGGCACTCCCGATCAGTTTTTACGAGCCTCAGGGGTAGGAGAGTCCCTTGCTCTGGCCAGTGCTCAGCCCTGACTGAAGCCACAGTGACCCAGTCAGCATCCATTCTTTCCTGCCCAGCCTGCCACCCAAGGAGAGGGCCAGATCCATCCCTCCACCGTCAGTCCCAGCCAGAGGAGGGGTGGGCGTTATTGAGGAAAGGAATTTGGACTCAGGTCATTTCCGAGAACGTCATGTCAGGAAGGAAATTAGGCAGGAGATGTGCTAGGAAGTGACCGCTGTGGGGGGCAGGCCTCCCTGAGGAGGTGACATTTGTGCAGGATGTGAACAGTGAGGAACCTTCACAAGGGGACTCGCCCAGGGCACTTTTTCGTGAATGGTCCTCCCAGCTCCCCCACTTAAAGGGGGGCAAACAGGTTCTGTGGCTCACAGAGGCAGGGTTAGAATTCCCGTCTTTTCTGTAACCACTAAATAAACCAGAACCCTGACCTCGGCCACCATCACCACCTCCACGCTGGTCAGCCTGATGGCTACAGGTGAGTGACCCCCGCCTCGCCCTACCTCTGTACCCAGCCATCACATAAATACTAGGTTCCCTGCTGTGGTTCTAGATATGAGGACTAAAGCCGGGAGCAAAGCAGACACACATCCTTGCCCTCGGAATCTGGCCCCACGCCCTCGGGTCCAAGGCTGTCCTCCGCGCAGGCCCAGGGGTGGGGCCCTTGCACCAGGCATTATCTCCTCCCTCCCGGCAGGCTAGTATCTTGGAGAGGTCAGCCAGGCCCTGGGTGGGCTGGAGTCTGGCATACAGTGGAAGGGGTCCCAGCTGGTGTCCCCTGGGTCACCGTGCTGGTCCTGATGTCCGGTGGGGACATGATAGCGTGTACCTGTGGTGCTCAGAGACAGACGTCTGAGAAAACACACGTTCAGAGTGTCCTACCTGCTCCTTCAGAGGCATTTCTGAGGCCCCTGGGGGGTCTGGGCAGGAGGCAGCGTGGATGATCAGAGGGGCCAGAAGCTTGACACGGCAGCCGGTTGTGTCTGGCCCGAGCTGGTGGGAGCCAAGCTGACATCCTTGGTTTTTCCCTGAAGGAGGCAGGGGGCTGCTGAGAAGGGACCCTCTGCTGGCCCAAAGGGTGGAGAGGCTCTCACCCCCTGCAGAGGCCATCTGTCCATTTATTACAGAGCAGAGATGCTCTCTGTGCTGGTCCGCAGCCCAACCCTTGATGCTCCAGGAGGGAGAGCCCAGGCCCAGATGTGTGTGGGGGGGGGGGGGGCGGGGCTCCTGCCCAGGTGAGTCGAGAAGAGTAGCCCCTTCTGGGGGCTCCTCCCTTTGACCTCCACTCGGCATCTCGTGGGTCAGGCCCTCTGGGACCCTGTGCATCCATTTTCCCCTCCCAACGTGTGACTGTGGAGCACCAACCGCATGCCAGGCGAGCTCTGGGTGCTGTGGAAATCATGGGAACAAAACAGGATTCCTGCCTTTGTGGAGTTTATACTCCAGGCAGGGGAGACAGATGATAAAAAGGCTGCTTACACAGGTCACTGTAAGGAGATGATGAGGGGAAAGTCGGGGCAGGGGAGGGACAGCAAGTGACAGGAAGGAGGTGTTGCAATCGGAGAAGCCTCGTGCAAGCACGTTAAGTCAGCTGAGCACAGGCAGAGCGGGCGGAATAGATGAGATCAGGGGTCAGAGTGGAGCTTCCCTGCCAGGTAACTCGGACGTCCAGTCACTGAGAGGACCCCGGGTGGGATGAGCTGGAGGGTTCTGAGCACCACACTCTGGCTGCCCTGCAGAGCAAGGGGAGGGAGGAAGGGTGACAGTAGACGAGCTGGGAGGCTGGGGCCACCATCCACGTGGGGGCTGAGGTGGCCTGTACTGGGGCGGTGGCCAAGGAGGCTGTGAGAAGCAGCCAGATTCGGGATGCACTTTTGAGGCAGAGCCTGTAGGCTATCCTGATGGATCGGAAAAATGGTGTGCCGTGGAGGGATTAATACTGACTCAGGTGTGTCCGGAATAGCCAGAAGGATGGCATGTTATCGGCCAAGATGGGAACGGATGGGGGAGGAGGGACCAGGGAGGGAGACGGGGAGCTCCTTTCAGATGTTTGTGACATTGACATGATGCCCTGGGGACATGCAGTGGCACTGCTGAGTGGCTGCAGCTACTGGGCTTGGGAGTTGAGGAGAGAGATCCAAGCTGAGACAGAAACTTGAGCGTCATCAATACTCAGCACTTTCTAAACGGTGAGATCAGATGCTAGGAGAGTTGCCTGAGGGCTCCCAGCTTTATGTGGTTAGAGAATTGAGGGGGAACCAGCAAAGGAGACAGCAGGAGCAGCTGGGGACAGGAGGAGTGCCTGGATGCCAAGTAAAAAGTACGAGGGGTTGTGGCCCACCTATGGGCCGGGGGCAGGATGGGACTCTGCACCGACCACGGGGCTTAGTGACTTGGCCTGGAGGGGAGCAGTTTCGCTGAAGTGGCAGCAGTGATGTTGAAGGAGGGCAGCTCTTGTAAAGACCCGCTGATCGAGACAGTGTGGTATTGATGCAAAGACAGGCAAATAGATGGGGGAGCTGAACGAAGGAGAGCCCTGCCCTGAAGCACAGGAGGGAAGGCTCTCTTCTCAGTGGACGTGCAGCGGGGATGGGAGGGCCTCGGTCCCTCCCTCACACCACACACAGCTATCGAAATTCCAGGTGGGTTAGGAAGATGGTAAATTCCTTAGCTCAGTTGGATCAATGGTAAATGCATCAGGGGGAAAACGACAAAGGAGGCCGCCTTCATGATCTTGAAAGCAACAAAGATTTGTTTTTTAAATAGGAAATGCACAAAACCCACCAAATCTGTAAAAAAGACAGACAGGATTAGGAGAATGAGAAGATAAGGAGAATGAGAAGAGAAGGCATCCAAAATACGTGAAAACTCTTGAAACCCAACAGTCAGCAAGTGCTCAGGATCAGACACCCCAGCAAAGGAGAAGTCCAGAGGACAGAGAAGCCCATGGAGAGACATTCACGTCAGCAGGGAAATGCACGTTAAAATGGCAACTGGAGGGACTTCCCTGGTGGTCCAGTGGTTAAGAATCCACCTTCAGATGCAGGGGTCAGGTTCAGTCTCTGGTCCAGGAGCTAAGCTCTCACAGGCCGCGACTAAGCCCATGTGCACTAGAGCCCACGCGCCACAACTAGAGAGAAACCCACGCGCTGCTACTAAGACCCGATGCAGCCAAATAAATCAATTAATTTAAAAAAACCAAACAGAAAACCATCAATCAGATACCTCTACACACGATCGGAGCGGCCAAAACCTGGACACTGACAGCACCAGGTACCGATGAGGGTGTGAAACAGCAGGAACTTGCATCCATCGCTGGTGGGAACGCAAATGGTGCAACCATTTTAGAGGAAGACGTTTTGGCGGTTTCTTAAAAAACTAAACCTGCTCTTACTATATGATCCAGCAGTTGCACTCCTTGGTATTTACACAGAGGAGCTAAAAACTTCTGTCCACACAAAAACCCGCACACACATGTTTATAGCAGCTTTTTGCATAATTGCCAAATCTGGAAACAACCAAGATGCCCTTCAGTAGGTGGATGGATCGATACACTGTGGTCCATGCAGACAATGGAATATTGTTCAGCCCTAAAGAGAAATGAGCTATCAAGCCATGAAAAGACGCAGAGGAAACATAGAGGCATATTTGTAAGTGAAAGGAGGTAATCTGACAAGGCCACACACTCTGTGATTCCAACTGTATGACATTCTGAAAAAGGCAAAATCATGGAGACAGTCAAAGAATCAGTGGTGAAAGAACCGGGGGTTGGAGGAGGGGAGGAGGGTCAACGGGCAGACTCACTACAGCCATTATTACAGCCGTTAAGGGACTCTGCGATGTTGCTTCAAGTGTAGATACAGGACATTATGGGTTTCTCAAAACCCATAGAATGTACAGCACAAGGAGTGAACCTTAATGTCAACTATGGGCTTTGGTTAATAATAATGTATCAATATTGGCTCATTGATTTCAGCAAATGTATCACTAATGCAAGATGTTAATAACAGTGGACATGTGTGTGTGCGTGTGTTTGGGGGAAGTGAGTTTATGGGAACTCTGTACTATCTGCCAATTTTTCTATGTATGTAAAACTGTTCTAAAAAATAAAGTATTAATAGAAAAAAGGGCATCAATCTCTCTCAGGGGAAAAATGATAAATTAGTCTATATCAAGATTGATAACTTCTGTTTCGCAAAATACACCGCGTTAAGAGTGAAGAGGCAAAGCCACAGAGAGGGAAAAACTGTTTTCATTACACAAATCTGACAAGCAACTAGCATCTGAAATATAAAAAGAGCAGCAAACCCATAAAAAGGCAAAAACCTAACAGAGCAAAGCAAACCAGGAGAATGATTTGCTAGACGCT